GAAAGGATGTAGGTATTGTAATGGCTTAAAGGCCTTCGGCCTAGCCACATAGGATCAAGTAAGATAATGTGTTTGTAATAATTACCTATTAAATTAAATTAATCTTTTAGAAATCTCAAAAAAAGCATGGTCCAAACACCACTGCGCTAGCTGAATAGCTAAGCATCAAATGTAAATCAATTGTATCAAATGTAAGCAATTATTTTCTAATTTCTTCCAAATTGAAATATTCCCCTTTTTCACTAAAGCGAATTTTGATCGCTTTATGCATAACGTTGTCAAGATAAATGTAGGAAGTTGTAATTTAGTGTATTTTAAGGCACTGTAGAATTGATAAAATATCTACGTCGACTGGGAATGGCACCCCCGCTTCACGAATTATAGAGCAACACTTTGACACTGAGCCATTATTTTGCTCTTACGACACTATTCTTATAACAACACATTTTATATTAACGAAACTTGAAAGCTACATTACGTTTATAAAACTTAATGTCAATTCAGTTCCATGGGCAGGAATCACAGAAGTCTTTTTCATCTGTACTACTACTATTTATCTGTCAATGGACATAAAGTATTATATACGATTTTTCCTTCAAATAAAATTTGTTCTCCATTCTTAGCTCTTTCATGGGAGTCATGTTCATCTTTTTGAAAATTATAGTATTTTTCTCATAATATTGCGTATAATGTGTTGTTTTAAAACAAAAAACAATATTTGTATTTTGGCCAGCGATAGATGGCCGCCGACAAGAATATATGGCAATTCGAATAGCTAGTCTACACCAAAGAAAATATAAAACTAACTCGTTGCAGAAAAGCTGTGCAACCACGACGTTTCGGTCGCCATTCTGAGACCTTCCTCAGAGCGTAATGCGAGTAACGCAGCCATGGACGCGGCGTCACCCGGACAGCCAAGTAAATACTGACTCTGGCCGCGGAAGCCTATGCTCTCAGTTGTGAAATGCGCGAATCCGGATGATAGCGTGAAAGTGGTGCTAGTGCACGTGGGCTCGAATGTTCGAAGAAACCAGTTTATTCATGACATAATAAAACAGTGGGTAGATTTGGGTAGTGAAATAAAGGGGAAAAGTAAAAATGCTAAGTTAATTTTCAGTGGCGTAGCCTGCCGACGTAACAGGCTCAATTCCAAAACCTGGAACGTGAATCGGGGTTTATTATGGGTTTGTGAGATGTCCGACGCATTATTCGTCGAGCCAAATCACTGTCTGAGCATGGCTAACATCAGTCCTGGCGGGGTTCATACGATAAATGCTGGCAGTGGTTGGAAACTTGGGCGGTTGCATGACAATGTCATCGAGTCTTCCCTCAGACTGAAGTCGTAATTATTTAGCGCCAAAGATGAAAATGACAGTAACTGTGTCCGCGACGGTGACGGCGGCGGCGACGGCGACGGTGACGGAGACGATGGCGGCGGCG